TCGAGACCATCCTGGCTAACACGGTGAAACCCCGTCTCTACTAAGAAATACAAAAAAATAGCCGGGCGAGGTGGCAGCGCCTGTAGTCCCAGCTACTTGGGAGGCTGAGGCCGGAGAATGGCGTGAACCCGGGAGGCGGAGCTTGCAGTGAGCTGAGATCCGGCCACTGCACTCCAGCCTGGGCGACAGCGCAAGACTCCGTCTCAAAAAAAAAAAAAAAAAGAATGTTACAGAAGTGGAACCATACAGGAACCATACAGTATGTGACCATTTTGTACCTGCTGTTTTCACTCATCATAATGCCCTTGAGATCCACCCAAGCTGTGGCAGGTATCAGTCCTTGGTCCTGTTTTATTGCTGAGCTGTATTCCACGGTACAGATGAACCCCAGCTTAACCTGTCCCCTGCTGAAAAGACCTTTTCCCTAGCTTTTGGCAACCTACAAATAAAGCTGCTATGAACATCTGTATATGCATTTTTGTGTAAACATTCGTTTTTATTTCTCTGGGAAATAAAAATAAAAAGTACGTAAAGTTTTTAAATAAATGGCCAAACTATTTTCCAGAGTGGGTATTCCATTATACATTCCCACCTACAATGTATGAGATTCAATTTTTCCACTTTCTTGTCAGCATTTATCACTATTTTTATTTGCTCAAATACATGTGTAAAGATATTGTGATCTTTACTGGTATTTCCTTAATGGCTCGTGATGTTGAACATCTTTCATGTACTTACTTACCATTTGTATATCCTCTTCAGTGAAATATTTCTTTATGTCTTTTGCTCACTTTCTAATTGTTTTTTGTTTTGTTTTTCTTACCGTTAAGTTTGGGAGTCCTTGATTTGATTTGCAAATATTTTGTTTGTAGCTTTTCATTCTCTTAATGAAGGGTTTTTGTTGGAACAAAAACTTTTAAGTCAAATTGATCGATTTTTTTTCTTTATGGATTGTGCTTTTGATCTCAAGTCTAAGAACTCTTGACCAAGCTGTAGGTCCTGAAGGTTTTCTTGCTTACTTCTAAAATTTCATAGTTTTGCATTTTACATTTAAGTCCACAGTACAGTCTGAGTTAATTCTGCATAAGATCTGAGGTTTCGGCTTGGGTTTGTTTGGTTTTTGCCTATGAATTTCCCATTGCTCCAGGACCATTCGTTGAAGACCGTCCTTCCTCCAATCAATTTGTTTTGCACCTTTGCCAAAAATCAGTTAGTCAGCCTGGGCAACAAAGCGAAACCCCATCTCTACCAAAAATACAAAAGTTAGACAGGTGTGATGGCAAGCACCTGTAGTCCCAGCTACTCAGGAGGCTAAGGTGGGAGGATCGCTTGAGTCTAGGAGGTTTTGAGGCTGCAGAGAGCTGAGATCTCCCCACTGCACTCCAACCTGGGTAGAGTAGAGCGAGACCCTGTGTCTCAAAAAAAAACAAAAACAAAAACCAACCAACCAACAAACAAAAAAAAGTTGGCTGTGCTTGTGCATTGTCTTGTTGATCTGCCTCTTTTTCCACTAACACCACAATCCTGACTGCTATTACTGTAAAATAAGTCCATAATAGGTAGTAAAATGTTTAGTATTCCTTATGCTTTTTTCTTCTAGTTAAAAATTGTTTAGCTATTCCAGTTCCTTTGCCTTTCCATACACATTTTAGAATAATCTTGTCTATATCGAGAAAAAAATCTCACTGGGCTTTTGTTAATAGTTACATTAAATCTATCAATTCTCCAATGAAACACCTGGGCTTGGAGGTTTTTCAAGGCTTTAAAATAATAAATTCAATTTCCTTAACAGTTATAGAGCCATTTAAATTATCTATTTCATCTTGGCCGAGGTGTGGTATTTGTGCTTTTTAAAAAACTGGCCCCTCTGAAGAACCTGTGGAGTTGATGTGGGTACGATCATTGATGGTGCCCTTTTCCCGTCTTTCTGATGTCTGTGGAGTATGATGCCCTTATTTCATTGCTGACATTCGTAATTTGACTTCTCTTTTGTGTCAGTCTTCCTAAAGGCTCATCAATGGTATTCATCTTTCCAGCGTTTGCCAGTCTCTTTCCACACCACTCTTTCCTGCACCCTGTAGCTCACTACTGGCTGCCTTCCCAGGAGCTTCTACCTTCCTCAGACAGTCTCAATTCATTGGCAAAATGCCCAGGTTAAAACACCCATATCCCCCCGATGCCTTCGCGGCTGCTGACACAGTCATGGCCAATGCGAAGTGAAGACAGGTCTGTGGACAGAGTTCAGAGACAGGGTTTCCTCAGCTGGCGTGCCCTTTGCCCTCCTCCTCCTGCCGGTACCTCGAATCTGTGATGGGGCAGAAGCCCCCATGGGGAGGTGAGGATGGCAACTGGGGAGACAGAAGGGACTCACATCTCTGGTGGCCTCAGGGAGCCATGGTACCAGCTTGGACTTAACACAAGAATAAAACCCCTCCTTCCTTAAGCCCAGTCGTGGGTGACTGTCAAACAGTCTTGATTCCCATATCCACTCCTCGCTCCCTGGTTTTTGCTCAGCATCCCATCCTTTAGTTCTTTTAGCAAAGATCAGTGCATGGTAAACACTTAGTGTCATAAGCTTGGAAATGTCTGTCATGCCCCTACTTATGGTAACTGAGCAGACTTGACATTTGTTTCCTGAGCACTTAGGAAAACTGTCTTCTGGTATCTATTGTTGATGAAAAGTGAAACTAATTCCTTTGTAGGTAATCTTTTAAAATTTTTACATGTAGCTTGTGTGACTTTTCCCCTTTAGCTTCGATGTTCTCATCTAGACCACTGGAATCAAACTGCAGATGTAGTAAAACTACTCTTAAAAAAAAAAGAAAAAATAGGCTGGGCACGGTGGTTCATGCCTATAATCTCAGCACTTTGGGAGGGGAGGCGGAAGGATAGCTTGAGGTCAGTTTGAGACCAGCCTGGCCAAAATGGTAAAACCCCGTCTCTACTAAAAATATTTTAAAATGGCACGGGCTCACGCCTGTAATCCCAGCACTTTGGGAGGCCGAGGCGGACAGATCACAAAGTCAAGAGAGAAACCATCCCAGCCAAAATGATGAAACCCTGTCTCTACTAAAAACACAAAAATTAGCCTGGCATGGTGGCACGTGCCTGTAGTCCCAGCTACTCAAGAGGCTGAGGCAGGAGAATCGCTTGAACCCAGGAGGTGGAGGTTGCAGTGAGCCAAGATCGCACCACTGCACTCCAGCCTGGCAACAGAGCAAGACTTCGTCTCAAAAAAAAAATAGGCATGGTGGCACACAGCCATAGTCCCAGCTACTCGAGAGGCTAGGGTTGGAGAATTGCTTGAGCCCAGGAGGCGGAGGTTGCAGTGACCTGAGATTGTGCCACTGCACTCTAGCCTGGGTGACAGAGACTCCACCCATCCATCCATCCATCCATCCATCCATCCATCCATCCATAAATAAATAAATAAGCAAGCAAGCCTGTGTGTTGAAATGCAGCATATATACCAACGCGTATAAAAATAAATACATCTAGAGAATAAAATCCCATCACTCGAGCCAGGAAAAACACTTTATCATGATCTCACAGGGCCCCTTTGAGCTAACTACAAGCCTGAAATTGACGATCACCACCTTGCTCTTCCACCGTGACCTTACCACCTGAGTGTGTCCTTACATTGTCTCACTCTGCCTGTTTGGAACATCACACAAATGGCTCATACTCTTTCTTCCATGACTTGCTTCTTTCAACATCTATCCATTTGTTGCACCTGACTGTAGCTCTTCTCACAGCTATGGAACACTGCACTGTCAGAATGACAACTTATTATCACCACATTCTGGCTTTCAGTGTGTTTGTGTGCACACATGTGCCTGTGCTGTTACAAACAATGCTTCTGCAAGCATTTCTGTCCCTGTCTCCTGGTGTACATGCACAACAGTTCTCTGGTGCACTGAGGGCAGAATTCATGGGTCCCAGGGTGCACAAGTTCAACTTTCCCAACACGGTTACACATTTCCCACTCCTACGGCTGTCGGGGGAGGCCCCAGTGCTCCACAGCACAGCGGTGTAGCTAATGACACTTCTGAAAGTCTCCCTTGCCTGCCTCCTCCTGCCACCTCCACTTTCTTTTGTTTATCTTGTGCTTGATACAGCTTTTCTAGTCCCATTAATCTTTCTTTCTATTAATTTATGAGGCAGGGTCTCACTCTGTCGTTCAGACTGGAGTGCAGTGGCGTGATCAAGGCTCACTGCAGCCTTGACCTCCCAGGCTCAGGTGATCTCCCACCTCAGCCTCCCAAGTAGCTGGGACTACAGGCACGCACCACCACGCCTGGCTAAGTTTTTTATATTTTTGTAGAAGATAGGTTCTTCTACAAAAGAAGAACCACGTTGCCCAGGCTGGTCTTGAACTCCTGGACTCAAGCAATCTGCCTGAGACTCAAGCAAATTCAGCCTCCCTAAGTGCTGGGATTACAGGCATGAGTCACTGCACCTGGTTGGCTTCAGGTTTTTTAAAACTCAGCAAACTGAGTTTAAAGGGAGAAAAGAAAAGAGAGAAGAGAAGAGAAAAGAGAAAAGAAAGAAAAGCAGTCTAATACTTTGCCATTACTGACACATTTGGATTCAACTACTCAATCCACTTTTCTCTCTGCTTTCTTTTGGATACTTTTTTCTCATTGTTTTTTTTTTCTCTCTCTCTCATCTCCTCTGAAAGTAGTACACTCTATTTCTACTCATTTCAGGTTACCCTAGAAATGTCAACAGGCCTGTTTCCTAGTTTCATCCCTCTTCCCGAGTGAGCGTTTTCAAGGACTGTAACCCCAACCACCTCCTACCTCTGAACTTACATACCATTGTTGTTATGTATTCTAAATGGCCCTTGCTTTACCCCACAACACATTTTTCTTTTATAAGGTCAGTGCTTATTTACATTTATACTTTGTTTCTCTGATCTTTCCATCTGGGATTGTGCCCCTCAGTCTGAAAATATCCTTTATGATTTTTTAAAAAGGAGAATGCTTATTTCATTTTTGAAAAACTTTATACATATACAGTTCACCCATTAAAGTGTACAATTCAATGGCTCTTGGCATATTCAGCATATTCACAGATTTGTGCAACCACAATCACTTTTAGAACATTTTCATTACCCCAAAATAAATTTTCGCTTAGTGAGAGTCTGCGGGTGACAGAATCCCTGACTTTGTTGGTCTAAAAACAGGCCAGGTGCGGTGGCTCATGCCTGTAATCCCAGCACTTTGAGAGGCCAAGGTAGGCAGATCACTTGAGCTCAGGAATTCAAGATCAGCCTGGGCAACATGGTGAGACCCCATCTCTATAAAAAAATACGTCTCATATTTTCCCTGAGTATGCAATTCTAGGATGACAACTTTCTTTCATTCCTGTTTACACTGGTTATAGCTGAGATATCTGCTGCTACATTGCTCCTTGAAAGGTAGTATGTCCTTTCTCTCTGATTTCAAGGTATTTTCATGGTCTTTGTGCTCTTTAATCACGTTATTACAACGTGATTGGGTATGTAGTAGTTTTTAAATAAGTCCACAAATTCTTACAGTCCTCCCTTTAGGAAGTGGAACCTAATTCTTCTAAGTGTGTGCTGGGTGTAGTGACTTGCTTCTAACAAACAGAATGTAGCAGAATATCACTTCCAAGGCCAGATCATAAGCAAGCCCCATAATGCTCCCTCCTGCCTTCTCTCTTGGATTGCCACTCTGGGAAAGCCACCTGCCATCTCCTGAGAACACTCAGGCCGACAGAGATGTCCATGTGGCGAGGCACAGGTGCCACCAATCAACAACCCCATGAGTGATCTTGGAAACAGATCCTCCAGCCCCAGTCCAGCCTTCAAATGAGTGCAGCTTCCCAACTGACCCCAAGCCAGACTCACCCAGCTAAGCCACTCCTGATTCCTGGCCCACAGAAACCGAGGTAATAAGTGTTTGTTATTTTAAGCCCCCAGTTTTGGGTAATTTGTGTGTAGCAACTGATGATCAATGAAAAGTATGGAATTTTTTTTAAGTAAATTTGCTTACTTAGAATAAACATTTAAAAAGTGCATAAAACATGTATACAGTTCAATGAATATTCATAAAGTACAAATACCTACTTAATCATCACCCAGATGAAGAAACAGAACATTTGGATGTATATTTCTTCCTATCAACCTCCTTGAGACTTGGTGGTCTTCTTGAATCTGTGAACTGGTGATTTTCAAAAGTTCTGGAAAGTTCTCAGCCACTGTTTTTAAATATTGCTTCTGACTCATTTTCACTGTTTTGTTTTGTTTTTTTCCACCTGGGACTCCATCGTTTTACATTGGATCTCTTCATTCTATTCTCCATGTCTCTCAGTCTCTTGCTTTACATTATCACTGTTTATCTTGCTGGGCTGCATTTTGGAAAACTTCAGATCTAGCCTCCCATTCACTAATTATCTCTTCACCTTTGTCTAATCCACAGATACAAGGTTTTTAATTGCCATAATACACTACAGTAGTATATAGTCATTCCTTATCCATGTGGGGGGATGTTCCAAGACCCCCAACCCCAGTGGATGCCCGAAATGGCGGCAAGTACTGAACCCTATATATACTGTGCTTTCTCTTACACATACATACATATGATAAAGTTTAATTTATAAATTAGGCACAGTAACAAATTAACAATAACTAATGAGAAAATTATAAAAATATACACTAATAAAAATTATGTGAACGTGGTCTCTCTCAAAGTATCTTATTGCATGTGATAGTTTTGGACATGGTTGACAACAGGTAGGTAGCTAAAACCACAGAAAGGGAAACTGGAGACGCCAGGGGTGGGGGGCAGATTACTGTATCTTTTATTTCCAGAATATTGGTTTGGTTCTTTTGCAAATCTGCTATTTTCACATCTTTTAGTTCTTAAATAATTTTTAAACATATCTAAATTCCATGGCTGATAATTCTGATGTCTGAAGTCTTTACAAGTCTGGTTCTACCATGTTATTTTTGATGTTGGTTATCTTGCACCTGAGGCTCTGTTACCTTGCTTGTCTGATGAGCCTTTCTGCAATCTGTTCATTTCTCTTTCCTATTTTAAAAATAACTTAAAGCTCTTGGCTCAAAATTTATTGCTCCCTTCCTTTGATGCTCATTTCCCAGCAAGCCATCGTCCCATATGGGGCCAGACTCCTAGTCGCACTGTGGGGAGGGACAGGTGCTGTGCCCATCATACTCAGCAGCAGTGAGGCGGTACATTGTGAAGTGGCCCAGGTCATGTTTGGGGATGATCCTTGAGGGTCACTGTCCATCAAGGGTCACTGAGTAGGCCCTAAGATTCTCATATGTCTTGGAACTTTATAAGTGAGAATTCTTTGAGAACCGATATGAATAAAGCTTTGTCCAGGTAGGATCTACATTTTCTTCTATCAAGTGTTTGAGACTTCCAACATTCTGGGACCAGTGGGACCACTTAAATTCTTGGATTCTCATGTGCAAAAACCCACATGAAGGCTGGCTCAGTTCTCAAGGAAGACCTTTTTTTCAGTCGAGTAAGTGGCAAGGTTTAATTTTTGTATGGGAAGCCAGGAGGGCAGATTTGCTATTAGTTCACAGAGGGTGTCACCCTTTGGGGACCCAGCTTTATAGAGAGTTCTATTAGGGCCCTCATTTTGCAAAGGTTTTGGTTTGTCTTCAGCCCAGGCATCAGGAACCCCAAAAAACAATGTTCAGTTTCACCTGGTTTGTCAAATGCTCTCAAGGCAAAGGTCAGACTATGGCATTCTGCTATCTCTTTTACATTCTGCCAAAGTATTCCTTATTTTCTTGCCAGCTCATTGCTGTATTTTTAAAATATTTGTTGTTATTCTTTATTTACCTAGAATTTTTAGCTGTTTGCAAAGAGAGGATCAGTTCAGGTAACTATTCCACCATGAAACTAGAAAGAGAAGTGGTTGGCCGGCTGGGTGCAGTGGCTCATGCCTGTAATCCCTCCCATGACTTTGGGAGGCCGAGGCAGATGGATCACCAGAAGTCAGGAGTCGAGACCAGCCTGGCCAACATGGTGAAACCCCATCTCTAGTAAAATACAAAAATTAGCTGGACGTGGTGGCACGCATCTATAATCCCAGCTACTTGGGTGGCTGAGGCAGGAGAATAACTTGAACCTGGGAGACAGAGGTTGCAGTGAGCCTAGATGGTGCCACTGCACTCCAGCCTGGAAGACAGAGTGAGACTTTGTCTCGGGAAAAAAAAGAAGTTGTTGGCCATTCTTTCTTCAAGTACCTTCTTTCTCTAGTTTCCTTTTCTTGGAACTCCTGTCATCTATAGGACATGTATCAGTATGACAAGGTTCTCAAGCTACCCTCCATCTCACCCTCTTTCTCTCTCACTGCCACCTTCTGTATGACTGTCTCAGCTTTAACTTCCAATTTACTAATCCTTTCTTGGACTATAGGTTAATACTTGGCTCTCTAGTGAGTTTCTTATTTTAAGGGCTGTATTCTTTCTTTCCAAAATTTATCATCAGTTCTTTCTTATGTCTAATCTCTGTTCTTAAGGGTACCACACCCTCTTTTATCTCTCTGATGTAAAAACAAATGCTCATTTTTAAAACCTTGTAGGCTGTTACTATTTAAGTTTGGGTATAAATCCTCCCACTTGTGTTACTGGTCATTCTTTAAGGCATTGGATTTTCTCATGTATTTTGTAATTTTTGTTTGCGTACTCATGATGCATGGTACTTTGTTTTTCCTTCTAGGACAACACCCAGGGTCATAAAACCAGAAGCATACCTTTCAATAGCTCTCGGGACTGTCGTACTGGCGGATAACCCTACTCTAGTCCCAGAGCTGATGCTGAGTGGCAGCTTAGTTGCCAGTCACCAGGTATCCATGTCCTTCCACTGCTACAGACATGCATCCTGTTTCCAGCTGCAATCCCAGGAGATGCAGGGAGTCTTTTCACCCTTTTTTTCCGTAGGAACAACAGCCCAGCTCCAGTTTTACCAACTGGACAGAGGGAGCCTGGCTCCAGTCCTGCATGTACCACTGGACCTAGGAAATACTGGAAGAGTTTCTGTCCCATGTGGGAGTCAGGGTCTTGGTCTGGTCTTACTACTCAATGCAGAAGCTGGCCAGCTACCACTTCAGCCCTCACCTACGGCTAGAAGTTTCTGCTTCTTTTCCACACAGGAATTACCTTCCAAGAATAGTTGCATAATTTTAACTTAAAGGGTTTTTTCATTGGTTGTGTGAGTGCACTGGTCTCTGTGTGCACAAACCCACTCTGCCTCTATGACTGGAGTGCTTGGCACTGTCTGCCAGAGATGGGTCATTGTGTTTCTGGAACACTGCGGAGAGGAAGAACACACTAGACGGCTTAGGGCAGAGGCAGGAGGCTCAAGGGGACATCCTGAAGGAAACTCAAGGGTGTAACCATCCTGGAGGAGATGCAAGTCCAGTTGGCCACAGGTACTGCAGTCAGAGATGACGCAGCCAGCCTGCTACCCTGGAGAGTCAGCTCCACAGAGGAGGCTCATATCCTAAAGCCAGAACCTTGGGGATCTAGGGTCCACGACCACACCTGAAACCCAGCCTACAATGTCCCCGTCTCTAGCAGAATGGGCCACCCCTCCCATGCAGGCTTTCTGTCCTAGGGGAGCCACAGTCTAGCTCTGACTGGTGGAACAGGGAGAGGGGCTGCCTGGGGCTGGGGAGAGTGGGGAAAGCAGTGACAGCAGCATCAAATCTGGAGTGGCCCTGAGTTGGGGCTTGCCAAGGCCCAGTCTCTCTCATACTGTGAAAGGATCCCCAGAGGACCAGGGTGGGAGCCTCTCCAGCTACTCCACAGACTATTGCAAGGCCTAGGCCTGGGGGAGGTGTTAAAAAGGATTTTCTCAGACCCTGTCTCTATCACCCAAGGATCTTGAGATGACCAGCAGTGACCATGGACTGGGCCAGGACATGGCTGCAGAAGGCAGCCCTGAGTATTCCCCACCCCTCCAGCCTTAACATGCCCAGTCCAACACAGGGATTATTCATACATATTAAGTACCGCTTCTGCAGTCACTCCATCTCCACCCTGTAGAGCCCAAATCCAGAGTAGGAAATATTTGACAGATTTCTGCCACAGACAGGGATTTACTTGTCTCTATTTCCAGATTTTTTTTTTTAAAGTTCAAAATATATACATATATACAGACATATTTACATTCACATGGGCAGACACAGGCATGCCCAGAGTTGTTGCTGGTTCTGCCTCCATTCAGAATGGCAGGGGCCACCCAGGAGACACGGAGCTGACCTCACCGATAGGGGTTTCAGACGTGACGGGCAGGGAGTCTCTGCTCAGAAGCCAGACTGGAGGTGACGGCAAGCTGAGCCCCCATCCCTGCCCAAGACCATCCCCTGCAGGACAGGCCTGATGGGCGAGTGGTGGGGCAGGGCACGCCTCAGTCAGAGTCACAGGCCTTTTGTTCGGTGGCAGCATCCACTGCAGAGGCTAGGCTGTCGTCCTGGCCTTTCAGCCTTTCACCTGGGATGGATGGCAGACAGAAGGAGTGGGAAGGGTTCCTGTGCTTGGGCCACCATCCAGTGGGTAGGACCCCACCTTCCCAGGTACTGCACTTACGGATCAGCTCGGCAATGGCCCTCTGAGTCCGCTTTTTTAGTTTCTCCAGCTTCTTGGCCACATCTCTCTTGAGGTCCCTGGAGCAGGGAGGCAGGGAAAAGCAGGAAGGTGAAGGTTGGCCTGATGTGGCCTTGGACCCCCTCCCCTCTTGCAGCCCTCTGGCACAGGAGTCATGCTCAGTTGCTTGAGGGGGCTGCCCTGTGGAAGAGGCCAGGACATTCCCCTTCTGCACCCTCTCAAACCCAGCACGAACCATTATTTCCTGTCCCACTGAGGCAGGGGGACTAGTACCACAAACCCACCCAACATAAGGGACTGAGCTAAGACATGCAAAAGTGGATGGTTTCTCAGGGACCCTCTCTTGCTCTGCTCCTCCGGTCACCATCAGGGAGTGACTTGCTCCCATCCACTGTGGGCCCTGCTCCTCCTCCAGCCACAGGCCCAGCCCCTCCACTGTGGGCATCTGGAAGTGCACAAGCACTCAGTCCATTCTCTCTGGCTCTGGGATTCCCAGGACATATGCCCCATGCTTTTGTTTCATCAAATTAAAATACCCTCAGCTGGTGTTAAGTGGACCCAGAATCAGACGACAGGGATACAGCCCTACCTCCAGCTCAAGATGAAGACAGACACAAGCCTCCCGGCCCACAGCACCCTCTCTCCCACTCTCTCTCTGCCTAGCAAGAAGGATGATGACCTTCATTTCAGAGAGGAGGAAACCAGGGCCAGAGGGAACAAACTATGGTGGTAGAACAGGAACAGAAAACTGTGTCTGCCCTTCCGTCCACCCCTGGCCCCCAAGGACAGCGGTTGGGCTCACTCAAATGGGAGCTCTGGAGCAGATGGGCTCTCAACCTCTCAGGAGGGCCTTCATGAGGGGCCTGCTGCTCCCCGCACCTGAGCCCCTCTCCATCACTCCCCTCTCATCCCACCACTTACGTCCTCCTCAGCACTGGTTTCCAACAGTAGCTATCTCGTGCAACTCTATGTCTGTACTGCCAGTCTCTGCACTGTAAGGGCAGGAAGGGCCAAGCCCCTGGCCCATGCTGGCACCAAGAGCCCCTGAGTCAGCCTGCACCAGCCCCACACGGGTAACACTCACCAGTCAGGCTTCCGAGGAGCAAGGTTGGCCAGGTCCTGGGAAGGGAGGAGACACATATCAGGGTGGAGGGGCCGCCCCAGGGAAGGGGGAGGGCAGGCTCGGGAAGGAGGGAAATGGGAGAAAGAGAAGGAGGAAGGAGAGGGACGAGGGCAAAGAGGCAGGTGGGAAGGGAATAGAAGTGACGAGAAGGAATGAGGGGCAGAGGGAGAGCAGGTGGCAAAGAGAAACAGGACACACAGAAGCAGTGAGGATGCCAGGGCAGCCCAGGCACTTACCACCTCCTCGATGACGGGCTCAGGCTTGGCGGCCTCCAGCTGCTCCTTCACCTTCTCCTCCACTAGAGGGTGCAATAAAACAGAGAAGACCTGTGGGAAAGGCGCTGCTGCTCTGCAGGGACACTGCCCACTGTGGCCCGCAGTGAGACAGGACCCCAGGCTTCCTTGCACCCACTTCTCTGTGGTCCCCAATCAGCCAGAGGTGAAGACCCTGCAAAGGCAGCTCTGGAGGGGGGGCCTGGGTTTTCCAGGATGAAGCAGTCCCCACAGGCCAAGAATGGGACAGCAGGAGGCAGCCAGCCACAGTCAGTCAGGAAGCATGGATGCTGACAGTAACTACGAGACCAGAGAGCTGCCTGGGTACATACAAAGTGAGGACTGGCTTCTCACATAATCCTAGGGCTACTGGGCTCTGAGGATGTCCTCTGGGTCCCAGCCTAGCCAGAGCCACAGGTGGCTTTTCCTCCATCCCACCTCAGCTGTATGCTCCCAAGACCAGGACAGAGGCACCTTCCAGCTCCTCCAAGCTGCTGCCAGAATAGCGAGCCTCTGAGCAATCTGACTAGAAGGTTCCTGCCCCTCGGGGACAAATGGCGGAAGCACTAACAACTCTGAGCTCTGTGGGCTTCCTCCAACCCCTGGCACTCAGTGGGCCCATGAGTGCCCTCCTGCTCTGCCTCACCTCCCTCCAGAAACAGATGAGAGTTGAGGGCTGCCCCTGACCTGGGCAGTTCCTCACCTCTCCTCTGTCCTGCCTACTGACCCCCACTGCACCATTACCCTACCAGGTGGGGCCCAGACTACAGAGCAAATCATGGGGGAATGTGTGGATTTCAGGGATGAAGGAGGTGGGGAAGCAGACTGGGATGTGGCCAAGCAGAAACACTTTACTTTTTCCCAAGATAAATGTATTTATTCACTTGTTACTTATGCAATTCAAAGAAAGATGATAACAAGGCCAGGAGTGGAGGCTCACACCTGGAATCCCAAAACTCTGGGACGCCGAGGCAGGTGGATCACCTGAGGTCAGAAGTTCGAGACCAGCCTGGCCAACATGGTGAAATCCTGTCTCTACTAAAAACACAAAAATTGGCCAGGCACAGTGGCACACAGCTGTAATCCCAGCTACTCAGGAGGCTGAGATTACAGTGAGCCGCGATTATGCCACTGCACTCCAGCCTAGGTGATAGAGCGAGACTCCGTCTCAAAAAAACAAGCAACAAACATAAAGAATTAAAATAGGGACTCTCCAGGGCAAGGGCCCAGGGATCCGGAGGACTAAGAAACTTCCTGGCATGAGTGGTGTGGACGGCCAGAAGCTCCTAGTGGCTGTGCTGCTCCCACACCATGGCAAGAGACTAGGCAAGCCCTGGGCCAGGCCCTCTCCCCTGCCTCGGTGCTCCACATTGCCGGTCCACTGCTGTGCATGGCTGAATGACTGGCCCCTGTCTCTGACCCACCCAGGCCCCACAGGACCCATCACCTGCCCTGCTGCCCAAGGGCCCCATGACCACGTCCACTTCTCAGCCCAGGAGTCCTCTGAGAGGATGTGGCCTTTTTCAAACCCCACTCAGATCCCGGGGAGGCCTCAGTCTCAGGCGGGTGTGAGCAGGACTGAGAAGGCACAAGAGGCCTCTGCAGCGCCCCGACAGCCTCTGCTGCCACCGACGGCCGACTGTGCGCATCTGCCATGAGATGGTAACAAGGGGTCCTGCCTGAAAGCCCAACTCCTGTCCTGGTACTGCTGGTTATTCTCAGAGAGCAAAGCCTGCTGAGGTGCAGGGTGGCTGACAGTGCCAGGAAGCAGAGGTGGAGAGGGGCAGCCTGCTTACCTGCAACCGGTTTGGCCTGGGGCACCCTCCTCTTCTTCAGGTCCTCATCCTCCGGGACATAGTTCCGCAGCCTAAGTTCCCTGCAAGGACAGAGAGAACAAGCAGAGACGAAGTCAGTGTGTGACATGGTCTCATTCATTCATTCATACAACTTGCATAGCCCATGACTTCCCAACTTTCCTCTGCGCTCTCTGGAGATGGCCTGGTGAGGAGGAAAAGCACAGAATGAAGCGTCATCAGTCAGGCCACTTGGCACTGTCCCCTGCCACTTAGCGGGACTGGCTGCCCTCCAGAGGCCCTGTCTACTCTGCTGGAGTATGGTTCTCTTCCAGAGTTGGGCCAAGGACGCCTAGGGAGCATTCACAGGGTGTCTCTCCTGGATCATCCCCATTTAACAGCTAAGGGGATTGGAGGTCAGAGAGACCATACCCTTTTCACAGGATCACACAGCAATGGGTGCACATCTGAGCTCAAGGCAAGGTATGCCTCCCAGCCAGGGCTAAAGCTCCTGGACTGAGTGATTCCTAAAAGACAAGGCCAGTGGTCACCCACAAGTTCCCCAAGTCTGGTCCCTCTTCAGAGCCTTCCTGCCCTGGGGCTCATGCCACGGAGTACGCCTCAACTACTTAGAGAAAAATCTGGGTGTGCTGGGCCAGGGGCAAGTGGCAGTGAGTGAGGAGTGACGTGTGGACAGACAAGCAGGTGCTGGTGGGCTCCAGAGGGGCGCAGCTGCCTACAAGCCGTGGGAACATGGAGGGGAGGCACTCCAGGAGGTGGCAGCGCCTAGGCCTGCAGATGACGTGGACAGGGTCAAGGCACAAAGCACACGAGAGGCTGACTCGGCTCCAAGACTGCTGAGAGTGGCCCGTGAGGGCTGGGAAAACAGGCATGACCGTGTGCAAAGCTGGGAAGGCCACAGTCCACCAGGACAGCAGTGAGAAATGCACAGCCCCCAAGGCCTCCATGAAGACAGAGGAGCCACAGGGGACCAGAATCGCCCGGGGGGAGCTGTGGCTAGTTACTATGTTTTTATTTTCTTCTTGCCTCAGTCTTTTCAGGCAGGGGTGGCTGAACCAAGAACTCACTGGGGTCCTCTCTGGCTCAGGGGCTCATCAAATCTTGGACCCCCCCACACAGAAGCAGGCTCCCAGGAAGAGGTGTCCCTGGTAACTCCACAGGGCAGCAGGACGAGAGGTCCTGGGGGGCTGCTGGGTCTAAGAAAGGCAAGGCAGAGGCAGTGGGACAGACCCCTAGCCCCAGGGGATGCAAGAGTGGCCCCTCAGATGCTGGCCAGGGGAGACTAGGCCGCGGGTCCTCCTCCCTCCCCAGTACCTCTTTCAGTTCTTGACCGTTGGTCCCTCAGAAAAGTTCTGGGCCTCTAAGGCAGGAAACAATTTCCCAACAAGCCTCCCATAGTCTGCCATCTTCAAAGCCCTCTGTCTGGACCAGGTAAAAGTGCTGCTGACTTTCTCAGGACCTGCGAAAGCAAGCTTTCCCAGAGGCAGGGGTGTCTGTGGCCACACAGCTAGCAAGCGGCAGTGCTTTGGACTCAGGGGCTTTCAGATGCCACTCACTCTCCTATTCAAGGGCTCCACCTGCTTCCTGCCCCCAGCTTACTTACCATCTCCTTCCCTCCTGCCAGGGCCCCTGGGCCTGGAGCCTTGGGGCTGGGCTGAACCACTGGATGATGGGGGAGATGGGGCAGTGCCAACATTGCCTGTGTGGAGGAAGCCCACCTGCACTCCAAGAGCCTGCTTCCTCTAAGGTGCGGAGATACCCCACCCCGTCCCCCATCCTTGAACGCCTGCCTCGGGCCTGGGGGTACATGTCAGGTCACAGAGGTACAGGGAGACAAAGTGGGGCATGACTGGGTGCAAAGGCTTTTGTTCACAACAGGGTGGGGAGAAATGAGGAAGAGAAACTGGGTGTGGGAAGAAAACTGCAGGGATTAGTAAGAAGAAAAACTGTCACTTTCAGAAACTGTCTCCAGGGTTCTGTGAGAAATTGACAGGAGAGAGGAGAGGCCAAAGGGAACTTGACCCAGAACTCAGAGCAGCAACCCGCACCCTGCCTCCAGCCCGCCCACTGCCCAGGCTTCAGAAGGCCAACTGGAGGAGTGAACCACAAGCAAGAGGTGGAAGCAGAGCCTTGTGCCCACTGTGCCCTGCCACCCCCAGAGTGGAGCACTGGCCAAGCAGCCAAGAATACCCAGATCTCAACCACTAGGGGAAGGTCTCATTCTGGGCCTCAGTTTCCACATGTAAAAACATTAAGGTTGCGCTGGGTGCATCCAGCTCTATTGAGCTGAGTCCACACCCTCCCCAGACTCACTCTTGCAGAGCTAATCTGACGTGCAGCCACTGTTGTGCGATCGCGTGAAAATGGTGCAGTCTCTCTGACCTCCAGTCCCCTTAGCTTGGAGAGCTAAGAGACTTCCCCTCCCTAATGCCCACTTAACTGCCCATCCCTGGAATTCCACCACTACCAAAGGGCAGGAGTCTCTGGGAGAGTCAAGGAGCATGGGGGGTTCAGCTTGGGGACCTGGTCTTTCCAACACAGGTTAATAAACCTGACAGCAAACACATTTTTAAAAATCTATTTCAGCCAGGCGCGGTGGTTCACGCCTGTAATCCGAGAGCTTTGGGAGGCTGAGGCAGGTAGATCACTTTAGGTCAGGAGTTTGAGCCCAGCCTGGCCAACATGGCAAAACCCAGTCTCTACTAAAAATACAAAAATTAGCTGGATGTGGTGCCACATGCCTGTAATCTCAGATATTCAGGAGGCTGAGGCAGGAGGATCGTTTGAACCCAGGAAGTGGAGGTTGCAGTGAGCTGAGATCACACCATTGCACTCCAGCCTAGGCTGCAGACTATCTCAAAAAAAAATAAAAATAAAAAATACATATATATATTTAATTGGCTTCAGAGAAGTACCAAGACAACAAAGATTTCAGGGGCTGCAATCACGGAGATAAGGCAAGTAAAACAAAGTGAGCCTGACATCACGTCCCTCTTTCCCTTTAAAGCATGTCTATTTACATGCAGCAGCTGAAAAGCTAAGAGACTGAGCAGAGCTTCCCATTAGGTTGGTGCAAACATAACTGTGGTTTTTGCCATTGAACATAGTGGCAGAAACCACAATTACTTTTGCACCAACCTCATATAATCTCATGGGCCTGGAGAGATTAAAAAAAAAACAAAGACGTGTGTTTAGGCAGAAACTAAAACAGACTGCTGACTTCTCAACTGAAACTATGGAAACCGTAAGACAACGAAATGGTATCTCAGAAATGTGGACAAAATAAATGTCACACAAAATTCTAAATCTAGTTAAGAAGCCTTCAAGAGAAAGACTTTTTCAGACATAGAAAGGTTAGGAGAATTAGTTATCAGCGAATCTGTTATTCAAGAAATACTAAAAGCAATACTTTAGGCTAGAGGAAAATGATCTCAGACGGAAACATGGAATTGCAGGGAAAAAATAAAATGCCTCAGAAAGGGTAAATACAATGGCTTGTGCCTGTAATCCCAGCTACTTGAGAGGCTAAGGCAAGAGGATTGCTTGAGCCAGGCGTTCAAGGCTGCACAGAGCTATGATTACACTACTGCACTCCAGCCTGGGTGACAAAGCAAGACCCTATCTCAAAAAAAAAAAAGCAGGGGGAAAACGGGTAAATACGTAGGTAGATTTAAATGAATATTCACTGTATAAAAGAGTAATAGTGACTTACAGTATTTAAAATGTAGCAACAATAAGAAAGAGTGGCAAATAGCCTTGAAGTGTTCTAAGGTCCTAAGCACTGTAGAGGAAATGGTAAACATGCTACTATTTTCTATTAGACTTTGGTAAGTCAAGGATTTTTGTTGTTATGCCTGTGGAAATTACTAAAAGAAAGGGAACACAGTATACAATTAACAAGTTAACAGAAGAAGAAAGTGGAATGATTAAAAACAAAAAGAGACAAGAACGGAGATAAAAAAGGAAAGTCAAGAAACAAATAGTAGGACAACAGATTCACACACAAAGCAGGCCCAGGCTGCCATCCTAGGGGCTCCCATAGCCTTACAGTGTCCAGGGCCGCCACAGCTCTTGGAGACTGGGCAGGGTGTGACGAGATGGTGCCAGCCAGACCAGTAGGGCAGGCCAACACCTAACACCTTGTCGGCCGGCCAGGAAACGCTGAAGCAGCCTGCACTCACCGGCAGTCACTGGCATCTGGAAGCCGCCTTTCTGAGGACCACTGGAGTCAAACAATGCTTCTGCCACCCCCACTTGAGAATGAGGAGGTTGCTAAGGGGAGAAGGTACTAGCTCTAGCTACAAGAAAAGAAATAAAACCAACAAGAATGTCAACAGTGGTTACCTCTAGGAGTGACTTTTTTTTAAGAGATGGGGGTTTTGCTGGGTGCAGTGGCTCACACCTGTAATCCCAACACTTTGGGAGGCAAAGGCAGGTGGATCACCTGAGGTCAGGGGGAGACCAGCCGGGCCAACCAACATGGTGAAACCCCATCTCTACTAAAAATACAAAAATTAGCCAGATGTGGTGGCGGGTGCCTGTAATCCCAGCTACTTGGGAGGCTGAGGCAGGCGAATCACTTGAACCCGGGAGGCAGAGGTTGCAGCGAGCCAAGATGGTGCCATTACACTCCAGCTTGGGTGAGAAGAGCAAGACTCCATCTCAAACAAAAAAACAAAAAAAGAGAGAGAGAGAGAGAGAGAGAGAGAGAGAGAGAGAGAGAGAGAGAGATGTGGGTCTCACTATGCTGCTCAGGTTGGACTTGATCTCCTGGGCTTAAGCAATCCTCCTGTGTCAGCCTCCCAAATGGCTGGGACCACAGGCGTGAGCCATCAGCTCATCAGGGAAGTGATTTTTACTTGATTTTTTGATTTTCTGTAGATTCCAGAATTTCTAATCAGTAATTCTTTCTACATAGAAACAATCAACCAAGTACTCAAAAACATAAAGAAGAAACAGGCAGAGGAGCCGAAAGGCAGCAGAGGACTGTGGCAGGGTTCTGAGTCAGGCAGCACCAGCACCTCAGCTCTGCTGGTGTCCAGTCTCTGTGGCTTAGGCCCAG